TGTGTCTACAGTCATCAGTACAGATCCACTGGGACCAATAGGAATATGTCAGTCCGTGAACGGTGGACTACTGGTCACAATGAGAGATAAGGAATCAGATGAATACAAATTAGAGTCACACAGCAGACGTCTGGTGAGACATATCACATTGACAGGTGATGTCGTCCATGAGTATGAGTACCAGGAGGACGGTCACACCAGACTGTTCACATTGCCAGTCAGAGTCATACAGAACAGTAACCGTGATATCTGTGTTGTGAACAGTACAAGTGGAAATAGAGGTGAACTTGTAATAATGTCTCCCTCTGGTCATATAAAATCTGTCTACCGTGGACAGAACCCGACAAAGCACTTTAATCCAACTGATGTGTGACTCCCTCTGTAACATCTTTATTACTGACTCTTTGAACAAAAATATCCATCTGCTGAGTCATGACGGGGAGTTCCTGAAGTTCCTACTGATAGACAATGAAGAGAACACTCCATACTCACTGTCCATAAACAAGTCTACGCTGTGGGTGGGATACTATGATGGACTTGTCAAGGTGTTTCAAAATATATGACAAATTGTATAAAGTACAAAATATTATCAAATTCATCAATATGAAATATTATTGCTTTATGAAATACATGTATGATCTTCAAGAAGAATTATCAAAATATAGTTTCCTATATGTATTTGAAAAATTCTCATATTTTTAATTGTTTCGATCTAGAATTAAATTCATAGCATTCACAGATTTATTAACTTTGAATTTATATTTCTGCATCATTAACATACAATGATGCTTTCCCTCAGTTGAACGAGCCAAGGTTATTGTGACCTTCATCTTCTGCTGGAAGGTTAATCAGATAAAGATAGATTTTTTTTTTTGGAATTCATAGACCAAGAGAACAAATTATGTATTTCATGATTTAAATATTACCTAGAAAGATTAATATTTCATACAAAATGCATTATAACTGTATATAACGACATGCTACATATTTCAGAATTTATTCCCTTAACACACACAATATTTTCGAAATAAAACAAATTAATTTAGTATTATTATGATTATGATGTTTGCCTTTTTAGTTTTACCATATATTCTTATTACCTATATTGTGAATTATAGACAATAGTATTTTCTAATTTACCTTGATTTATATATTTAAACAATTTTTTTGCAAATATATACATAATATAGGCATTGAAATTTGGGTTTTACCTTTTTTTGTTGGGTTTAGCCCCCACCCCTACCCCACTTTCAATTAGCCCCCTTTTTAAATCCCCCATTTCCACTTTAAATTTGCTTCCGATGCCTATGTTTATTTATATACTGAGTTACTGTGTTGTTTTTGCTTCTTGTTATTTTTTATCAATTACACCCACAATATCCTTTAATTACCATTTTGAGTTCGCCTAGACATTAATTAAAAGAAAAATAACACAGATTCATATTTTTATACCGTATATTCCTTTTTACTATTGATATTTTCATGGAAAGGCCGGTTTTTTCCTAACTTTTATTTGCAATACATGTATATAAAAAAATTTATTACAGTACCTTCCCCAACCCCGCACACATTTTTGGTTTTTTCAAAGTTTTTAAAGGAAATCTTTGACTGAATCCCTTTAGAAAGGAGACTACATCCCCGTACAATATCCGTTTTGAGTACAAACGTAAACAAAGAGTCCCCTGTATACCCTGTGTTCTCAAATCAATGTTATGGACAACTTGCTATATACATCGGGGGAGGGGGGGGGGGGGAAGAGACCAGGTTAAGGTGCCCACTTATCTTTAAGGGTCAAAGTTACATGTACTTAGAGTCCGTAACGATATTCAGTGAAGTATTTCTTTTTCTTAAATACTGAAGAGGTAGATGGAGGTGACTAGAAATATCTTTCGTTTATTTACTCTACCTTTTCGCATATCTAAATGATGTGACAATGACCCAACGGTACTTTTTACAATATTTCAGAAATGAAATATATATCTGACCATTTTCAAAAAAGGATATTATGCAAAGGGTGGCGGCTTCCAAATGGAGTATCACAAAGTGCAAGGTGTGGAACCTCTTATGTCAGAATTTCGTTTTTTTTTTATCTTTAATTCAGTTTACAACCACAATACCCAATTAAATATATCCCGAACTCATGAGTACCAGTATGTCAGATGCACAGGGCGTAAATTGCATTCAGTTTATTATCTTTCCAACAAGTTCTCAAGGAAAATAATAAATTGTTTTGACAGATGTAATAAACAAGAGCTACACTTTTTAACAATTTTCTCCACCCCTTGCACCATCTGACTCAAGAGACTCCACCCCATTCAATTTCGGACATTCCATTTTGGAGACTCCATTCTCAGCATTTTACACCAAGCCTTGTTGCAATGCAAAATGTAATAACAACGCGAAATGTAATAAACTTGGATTATAAAATTTTGCGTTATTACATTTTGCGTTGAGATCAATGCAAAATGTAATAATGCAAAATGTAATAAAACGATTTTTGAATTATTACATTTTGCATTATTACGTTTTGCTTCGAGATCAACGCAAAATGTAATAACGAACTTTTTTGCGTTATTTTATTTTTGCCTTGAACACAACGTGAAATGTAACAAAGTAATATGTAATAAAACAAACATAATTAATTTAATTTATTGTGGTTAGCACAAACAATAAATTGATCTAAATATGTAGAGAATATCTAGATAGTATGCTTTTATATAGGCTTTTACCAACGAGTTGAAATGGAGTATTTTTGCGTGTAGCGAGTATGCAAGCGGATCTAACATCTAATAATAATAAGATTGTACGTTTCTGTACATGCTTATTGTTATTACTGTAAGTGTAACAGTTCTTTTCTGGGGAAACCATGGTAAGGGGGAAAGCAGCCTTAAGTTTGAAAAATTTAAATAATTTTATTCACCGGTTTAAAATAATTTCAAATACATTTTGTAGCCAACAACTTGCTAATTCTTTTTTACATCTGCCAAGTGATTAATAAGTCTCGGAGGTTATTAATGCTCAAAAGTCATAAAAAAATATGTGACCTCCACTTTGAGGTTTCAAGTGCGATTTATACGTTGTATAACATGTATACCATGGCGCTCTCAGAAAGAATTTGCTTATATAATGTTTGAAATATCACAATTATTCCATTTTTAATATTATTCAGATTAATTGTTATTTTGTTATTTATTTATTTGTTGATTTTTTTCCCATTTCATCTTTTACTTAAATGTATTCACCAGTTGACGTTGTTACTATGTTTAGCTGTGATACATTCTGATATCAATGCAGTTTGTGTGCTATATCATAACTATATTATATGTTTTTATCATGTTTATAATTAACAAAAAATTAAGGTTCCTCATGCCTTTCTTCACGAATTTAGTTTTACATATGCTTATATTTTTTCAGAAAGAGAGAATCATTCATAATTGTAATCATTGTGAAACACCTTTACCTTGCTTCGAAGAACTGGGGCAGAAATGACCTTTTTCAGATTGAAAAAAACTTAAATAATTTACAAGATAAGGCTATCTTTAAGAAAATGTTTGTTTGCTCTGTCGCGTGGTTAAAAAAAGAATGGGTTGGTAGGTAGGGTGGAATTTTTTTCTTTTGAAATTTAAAGAAATACATGTTATCAAGATGAAAAAAAATCCAGGAAAGAAAAATTATCTTTTTTTCCTGGAGCTAAAAAAAGTTTTGAGTTGAATATTTTTAAACAATTGGTTGGGAAAGAGCAAATTAATACTGTTTTTAAAGATGGCCTAATATATATATTCTGTGATTTAATGTTAACTTTATTGTGTGGTTTGCAACTATCTACATGTATAAGCATTTAAAATTTTCACTGCTTTTGGATTTTTAATAATAAAATGTGTTGAAGCAATATAATTTTTTTTACTATAGTTTATAACTAGATCAATACAAATCCAAAGTCACCCCCCCCCCCACACACACACACACGCACACAATTACGCATATATTATACACTTGATAAAGGGTCATCATTTATCCTTAACAAATTCTCTACCCATAATAATTTATAAAAGTCTATACAGGTCGAACTTTATATACATGTACTTGATAAAGATTTATATCATTACATCTGAAATTTAAATTTTCAAATTTTACTTGAGAAATCTATATTAGTTCATCCTCCTCCTTTCTAGCAATTTATTTTGCTGTCAAAATTTTAAAAATAGCTTATTTCCTAATTTAACTTCCATAAGGCATTACACCATGTAATGAAATTCAATATTTTAAAACTATCACGTTCAGAATTCAAATACTTCCATAAATTTAAACATGCATTATTTTATAACAAAAACATCTTGCATGACAGCCCTTTAAGCATCCAATAAGAAGATCTGTATACATGTAATTTCAGAATTTCAATACAATGTATTATATCTTACCCTCTAATTCAGTCCATGTAGCCATTGTAATACATAGGCAATTTAGCCACATATGATCCACATATGCATTGCCTTTCATATGAAGATCATATGTGGATCATATGAGAAACATATGTATATACAATCATATGAGAATCATATGTGGCCAATCATATGAGAATCATATGATCATACATATGTGAATCATATGAAGTAATATACATATGATTCTCATATGAAAGATCCTGCATATGATAATCATATGAATATTCTGACAATAATCATATGAGAATCATATGAAACTGAACATATGAGAATCATATGAAACAATGTTCGCTAATTTGTCCTTGTTATACTCAGGTAAAATTCATACGAATGTTTTGACTGTGATCATATGAGAATCATATGAAACGGTGATCATATGAGAATCATATGAAACAGTGTTCACTTATATTTCCTTGTTATACTGAAGTAAAATTGCAATTTCAATTATATATATCAAAAGATGAATTTAAATGTACATTAATTCAAAAGAATTTGTTAGTAACTAATTATATGTAAAGTTCTACTCTGTTTACCCAACGCCCCCCCCCCCCACCCCCCCCCCACCCCCTTTTCTTCTAAAAAAAACCTTTCACAATTTTTTTTCTGTTATAATGCATTTCCCAGACAAAATAGATAAAGAATAAATTAATTTGCTTTTCATTTTAAATCTTTTGGGTTTGGCTTAGTAAAATTAAAATAATTCCGTATTTTTCTCCGGGCCGGTTTTGTCTTTTATCGGATGAAAATATACGTCAATTTTGACGTCACTGCTGCAGCAGACGTGTTGGGTGTTTGGAAAAGGCAAGTGATCTCCTAACAATAATATTTTAAAGACTTTTGATTCATATTGTTTAAATATAATTTCATTATTGTTACAGGTGCGTATGAACTCTCTATATACTCTTATCACTTGCATCATGCATGTAATTGTTAAATCAATGCATTTCGTAAACCTAACGTTCGTGATCTGTAAGTAAGTTTGGATAAAATTTGTTTCTGAATGAATGTAAACATTACATGTTAGGCTAAAGGCATTACTACTTTTTAAAACTTGAATTTATTTTCGTTTTGTTACGTACTGATATGAAAGTGAAAGTAGAAACCTTGTATGTCAGTTGGCGTTATGTATGTTGAGATCGTTATCAAGTCCGGATTCCTTCTTAAACTTAATGACAAATGTTTGATTTTATGGCATATAGATGTATTCGGCAACTTGAGTTCAGTGTCACAGTGCTGTTTTTTATTTCTGTCCAAAGAGCCCGAAGCTGATAAGACTGGCGATTGATCCTGAAGCTGATTTGACAGACGATTGCATCATCACAATATTGAAGGTAAAAATAAATACTTGAAATAAAAAATCAAAGTATCTGTAATGTCTCTTATGACAAAATATTTCTTGATAATTTTTCTTTGTTCTTTTATAATTCTACATTGTTTGCATGGCTTCATCAAAAATAAATTCAACTCAACTCAATACTCTAGAAATTTTATTCTACATTATATAATTTTAATCCAGTGCACTTAAAATATGCAAAGTATGAATAGATTTTGCTGGCTGTAGTGTAAAGGCTATGAAACTATATAGTATACAATAAATTTGTGGGGAAAGGGGGGATAAATTGGATTTTTGAATTTCAACTAAAAATTTATAACAGTGACATCCAACTTTAAAGGTATGAATACATGTGCATGTGTGTTGAAAGAACATCAGTTAGCTAATCAATTGAATATTTACATCTATGTATTCATTTACTGACAATTATTTTTTCCCCCCAACACTAGTGAATGGTGTGCGTGCCTATAGTTTCGGGTTAAATGTTAGATATATTTATGACTATAGAGAACCTACAAACTTGTACTCTCTCTTTTTGATAGTTTAAGTTTTAATTAAATGTATTCTTAGAAAATATCTACTGTGTGAGACTGTTAGTATTTGTCTTACAGGTTCAATATACAGTAAGCCTCTCGTAAGATAAAGAACAAATCCCAAGATCCAAGGCTTGCTTCAAAGTTAAGGTAACTACACACTGTTAAATAAACTTTGTTATAGTCTTCCCAAAAGTTTGGGATATCTTGGAATCACAATGTCTGTTTTTCTGCCTGTCTACTTGTCTGTAGTATTTTTTGTCCAAAAATAATATACATGTATCTGTATCAGAATCTTCTTAATTTTTTGACAATCTGAATTAATATACAGTGAAAACTGTCTAATCCGACACCTGAATAATCCGACACGCTGTGAATTCCGACGTTAAATTTCTTTCCCATTTTAGTATTTTCCTTATTTTTAACACTGTGCAATCCGACACCCTGTCTATTCCGACACAAAATTTGTCTCCCAGTGCATGTCGGATTAGACAGGTTTCACTGTATACTGTTTGAACATTCCAAATTTAATTGTCAAATATAACAAAAAAATGCTTTTTATGATTTTATTATGAAGCATATCTTTCAATAGTGTAATTGTTTTGCAAATTACATCATAGGATTCCTCAAAACACCTAGTATAACATATATAACATTAGTTTTATCTTGTATCATATCATTGTCAGTGAATTGGGCATACATTTGTTTGCTGATTATACCTAAGTAACTTTTATAACTCATAGAATTTAAGAATTATTTTATTTTTACTTTTGAAATTTTTGTAGAGACCATTCTGTGCCGCAAAGAAATTGTTCAGGAAAAGGAGAAGTGGTGGATATTCATTTTTGGTACGGTACAGTTCAAAGAGATTTTCAAAATGGTCATGGAAGATCAAAGGGAGGACAACTGAAAAAACTGAAAGATACAGAAGGAAAAAGAGCAAGGAAATATATGGAATAATTATGAAATGGGGAGGATGTACACAATCTTGTCTGAATTTGACCTGAGAAGATTTCCCATATTGTATGCTGGAATAATCAATAACTTGATTTTTCATAAATTTACAATAGAGAATACATGACAAATGTTATTGCTGATATTTCAATGTTGCTTTGGACACTTTCATGTCATATGGTATTTTTATACATTACCTAATTATGTTATTCATTTGTACATGTACAGTATACATGTTTAACTACTAAATCATTTTGCTGAAATCTTATAATTTGTACTCATGTTAGAATGTGTTTAATACATGTATCGACAAATGCTACTGACTTGTTTGTATATTTTCTTGTTTAGAATGTACACTGTGAAAAATAAGTTATTTCTCTTGATGAAAATAATTTTATCAAAAAAGTTGTGTAAGCATTTTAAGATATTTTAAAATATTTAACCAATGAAGATAGATCATTGTAATGTAATGAATTTTCATCTAAAGCAGAAATATCTGATTTTTAAATGTGTACAAGAATGTGAAAAATATTGAAAAAGAACACACAAGTGTTTCATATGATTTACATATGATGTACTTTTCATATGATTCTCATATGTAAATGGCTTGAAACACACATAAGTGTTTCATATGATTTACATATGATGCCATTTTCATATGATTCTCATATGTAAATGGCTTGAAACACACTGAAATCATTCATATGAAAATCATATGTAGTTATTTTCATATGATTCACATATGTGGATCATATGTAAATCATATGATTTGCTTCATATGATTCACATATGATGCCCTTTTTCTATGATTCTCATATGAAACCAATCATATGAGAATCATATGATACTCATATGAGAATCATATGTGGCGAAGTTGCCTGTGTACCTTTGGGGAAAATAGGGGGTTGGTAATTTGCCGTCACTTTGTTTTAAATAACTTAACTTCTCTTGAGCATTAAACTTAACCCCCTCCCCTTAAACTTAAACAGGTTCGTCTCTTTATTTTGTAGACATGATACATTTCTTTTTCTTTCTTTTTAGTATAAAATGGGATATGTCATTTGTAAATCGTGTATAAAATCAGATTTCCGTAACATTCTAGTGCATGTGAAACAGAAAGGTTTGCAAAAAAAAAAAAAAAAAAAAAAAAAAAACAATTAACACTGCACACTAAAAAAAAATATTACGAATATAGTACGAATTTCCTCGACAATACATTATATAGAAAATATACAGTATCCTTGACCCAAGCGCCCATGGAATAACGTAAAATGTATATATGGACATCACAGTGCAAAAATAAATTGTATAAGTATTAGGTATAAGTATTAGAGAAAGAGAGAGGGTAAAATTAATGCTTAATTATACAAGTTCATTTTCTGGCCCACGACAAAATCACTTGAAAATGAAATAGCATTTAGGTACATGTATTGAAAAAATTCACACATTATGTGCATCAAAAGTTGGATAATTTACATGTAGACAGTAAACGAAAATTAATTAAAGGATTGAAAAGTTAACTTTTTTATGAAAGAAAACTGCATTATAACAAACGCCTCTGGTAATCAATTAAAACTGACCACCTTCCATACTACTTGTACCTTTGGACTTTTTCCTGCGTCCATTTTGAGGAGATGGGGAGGGCATAGAATACCTTATCCAGATTTTGAAAACGCAAAAATCGGATCGCGGAGCAGGTTTAGTAAGTTACGAACAATACACTATATAATGTCCGTAGTCTGTAAAATGAACCAGAAACGAAAAATAACCGAGAAATCCAAATTTAGACTTGTTACATCAATTTGTATTCCAAATTATGGCTTAATACGAATTTTGATTTGTTGAAAAAAAATCAGCTTCAGAAGATACGTAGTCCTTTGAAAAAGACAAAAACGATGACGCTTTAGAACGTTACAGAACAGCAGATAACGATGCAATTTTGTCTTTTACTCAGGAAAAATCCTGAATAAACTAAAAAAAGAAATGTTAAGGGAATCAAAAACTATGTCACAAGCGAGTTGTGCATGTGTGTACAAATAGTATAGACATCATTTGAGTGACAGAGACTTTGATTCAGATGAGGACAATCTGTGAAGAAACATTTACCTGTAAAAATCTTAACAAAAACTTTAAAAAGTTTGAGCATCAAGGAAAGACATGGGCGTTTTAGAGTTGCTTACCCTGTGAAAGTAAAGTTTAATATTAAAAGAAATTTTAATCCTAACAAAGGAAAATATACACCGAGAACAATTCTTAAAAGATGAATTTCAAGTATTAGAAAAAGAATTCAATTAGGCATTGGATTATACTTTGTGAAATGTATAAGAATACTATATTTTGACGTTACTTTGTCGTTAAGGGTGCCGTGCGGGTAAAAATCATGTTTATTTTGAAATGAAGTAAATTGATTTCTGTTAAATCGAATGGAATGAAACATCACACAACAACAAAACAAATATTTTTACACATTGTATTATACTTATTCTAAATTTCTAGTGAGTAATAGAACGCAGATTGACATCGTCCACGAACTTTTCGAACAACCCTCGTACATGTATAAAACAAATAGAACACACCTTCCTATGGTATTGACAGTGCATGCAGTTAGATATTTCTTAAGACTTTACGTCTAATATATTTCTTGATTAGAAATTTTTTCTTGAATTAAAAGATACAGAATTTTTAAAATTTTATTTTCAATTTACAGTGAAAACTGTCTAATTCAACACATTGTGCATGTCGGTCTTCAGAGGTTTCACGGTATATGGCATGTATTGTATGTATCTTTAATATTTGTTGAAATAAATGCAAATGGGATGACATCTGTACCAAGCTTCACTCACCTGTTGCGTGTATACGGGGTACCTTTATCATCCATGTTTGTAAAACGATTTTTATTAAAACGCTCATGCTCTGTTTGCGAGGTAAAACACCAGATCCGATACTTAGCTGCTACTATAACAAACTTATTAGTGTTATGCTTATATATTTTTTTCTTTTGTGACATGAATTGATAGTATAAAAGTTACTGTTGTTCTAGTAATTTAAAAAGATTTTTTAACGGTTAGTATATTCGCAATCTCTAAAAATATTATCTTTTTTATAACATGATTAGCCAATGTGTTTAGATTAAGAAGAATTTTGTAAGTTTGTAGTTTTATTATAAAGTCACAGCAAAGGCAGAAAACAATGGTACATGAAAAGTTCAATTACATAGATCTCGGATCCAAGATCGTGAAAACTCACATAGTCATTGCATCACAAAGGTTTCAGATCTAAGTTCGTAAAAGCTTTCATAGTTCGTCTCGGAGCTAGGTTGGTATAAGGTCTCATAGTCCGTCTCGGAGCTAAGATGTTAAAAGCTATTGATACTCATTGGGCTTTGTACAAGAAACAGCATCCTAGGGATCACATATTTGGTAACAGCAATTAGTGACTTAGAGTGTCACTTCATTAATATAAATATACATGTTGTCCGCCCCTCACTGAAGCTCTGTCTCTCATCTCAATATAGGGTATGGCAATGTCCACTGCTTACATTAACAGTGTCAATGTTCGAGAACAACACAACGTAAAAACTAATTGTCCGTCAAATGAAGACGCTCTCTTAATGTATCCAATCACTCAGAGTTTGTAAACAAGTTCGTAATAAAGATATAATTGTCCGTCGCTCTAAACACTGATGGTATCAGTAATAATTCATAATACAATATTAAAACATAAATAAATGCACTGTACAAATTAAAATATCAATTAAACTTATAATTTATACGCCAATTGTGTTACATTTTTTCATTTTATGTTCTTTAATAAATATCGTTTTGCTTATGACAAGAAATATTACGATTGGCATTACATAACTGAATTTGGAAGTTTTATAATTAATTAAATATTCAAGTCATATCTCTAAAACAGTTGAATTTTCCATTGGTCGTTTCAAACCGGCGAGGCAAACCTCAATGAAGCAAAAGATGGATAATCGAAGGTTCAACAAATAAAGTCTTCTGCATGAGACAACCAACAAGATGTTAAAATAAAAAAAAAAACAATTTTTTTATTCCAAGATTTGTAGTATGCTTCTTTAACAATAAGTTTATCATTCATACAAACAATTTTTAAAGTACTTTTTAAGAATTAATAAATACAACATATACTGAGTATAATATAAATGTGCGTTTCATCGATAGTATAATTTGATGTCCAAAACTAGCACCTGTTCTCACTTGTCAACATTTTGGGTGTTTCACACGCACTTCTGAGTTCCGTAGATTTAGTACTTCCTGTCTTTTCCTTCAATACATTTTTGTACATAAGAATTGTCCTTTTATTACAAACAAAACCCAGAAATATAAACACGCCCTGTGATGTATTTAAGACGGATATAATGTACGTGAAATAACTTGGCGGTAAGATACCGTCCAAGATCTGTAAAAGCCAGAAGACTCCCTTTATAGGAAATAAGCGTACACATATCAAAAAATCGTTCCTTTCGGGTTTATTGTTAGAAACTGTTGGAGAACGTTTAATTGCACGTATCGTCTGCGTAAAGAAAAAGACGTTAAAGAGGCAAAGTAAACCAACCGGAACTAGAAATGTAATTATCAAGGACATCATTCCATCTATGAAACAGATTTGCTTTCCATAACCAACATTCTTCCGACTTGAAAACATAACAATCATATTCCCCATAACAGTACAAAGTGGCAGGAAAAAGATGTAAATACAATACTTCATAAACAGGTACTTGTTCATCAACAGTGGTACTCTGGATTGAAACACCCGATACATGTGGAAACAACAGGTGTTCATACTCGTAAAAGACGAGAGCCAGAGGTAATGAAGAAGAATGCCAACGACGGTACATTTTGTGCTGTTCTTGTCTTCCTCGTAACTCGCCAAAGATACAATATTGATGATAAATATGGTAGACACAAGAACCATTATCATTTTTCCTGGAAGTGATCTTAGTTCTCGAAAGAAGCAGTAGGTGAGGAACGTTATCAACAGACATACACACGATAAGATAGAAAATACAGCAGAAAGTTTACTGAAAATTCTTCTCGAATTGTTCCCCGTTTTGAATTTAGTCAGCAGGTCATCAACACAAACTCGGAGAGTACCATTCACTGAGATATCAGCATTAACAGCAGATAGAGAAATATCGTAACTCTTTAAAAACACCGCGTTTTGATTGCTATCAAATTCAAACTCCTCTAATTTCAATTCCACCTGTTTGCACATTAATGCGTTAGTGATATGAGCTGCACGATATTGAAGTATATGATTCCATAATGAACCATAATTTGAATTTGAACATCGATCTTTCTCCGTTGCTAGTTCTGTTATGTTGCTGTTATTTGTCCCTAACGAAAAATATTTGTTCTTCAAATCAAACAAAATAAAGGTATCATTGAAGATATATTCCAATTTAGTTTCAGTAAATCGTAAAAGTAATCTTTTAGTATCTAGTCTAGGAACAGATTCATTGATGAAAATTGTAGAGTGCATCCATCCATAGAATTTTCCGGAGTCATTTTGGACATATTCCATACGGAAGATATTGAAATAAATATTTTGTGTTAGCTTTACGCTCTTCTTTATTTTGAATGGTATCAAGTCTGTAATTAAATCTTGAATATTTTCCTCTGATATTTTGTATTTAGAAATTCCCTTAAAAGTTATATCTAAGTTATATCGAAGATTTTTGGTGACCGAAAAGAGCGGGATGCAGCTTTCTCTATGAGATAAATACTTCCCGGGATAACATGTTATATTCCTGCAGATTCCCTGAAAAAAAAAACCAGTTGTCTGTTAATCTTTTTTATATCTTTATGACAATAACTTTTCCCTTAACTTATCAGATGAAAAAGAATTAAAAGAGATTACTAAGAAAGAAACCTATATAGAGATTACCTATATATTAAGACACCATCCGATATAATCTAAAATAACATATTTTCGTGGGGTCCAATTTTCGAGGTTTGAAGAAAAAATTAATTGTTTGTTGGGATTTGATATTGTGGGTAGAGATTGTTAAATATTGCATAACATTTCTCATGGAAAGAATTCAATAATGAAATAACTTTTAGGGAATTGGTCGTAGATTTGGTCATTTGAATAGATCCGATAATGAAATACCTCACATGGAATGGGTCGTAGATTTGGTCATTTGAACAGATCTGATAATGAAATACCTTACATAGAATGGGTCGTTTGTCATTTGAACAGATCCGATAAAATGAATTAAATAACTTGGAATTGATCGTAGATTTGGTCATTTGATCAGATTCAATAAAATGAATTAAACAACTTACATGGAATGGGTCGTAGATTTGGTCATTTGAACAGATCTGATAATGAAATACCTTACATGGAATGGGTCGTAGATTTGGTTATTTGAACAGATCCGATAATGAAATACCTTACATGGAATGGTTCGTAGATTTGGTCATTTGAATAGATCCGATAATGAAATATCTTACATGGAATGGGTCGTAGATTTGGTCATTTGAACAGATCTGATAATGAAATACCTTACATGGAATGGGTCGTAGATTTGGTTATTTGAACAGATCCGATAATGAAATAACTAACATGGAATGGGTCGTAGATTTGGTCATTTGAACAGATCCGATAATGAAATACCTGACATGGAACGGGTCGTAGATTTTGTCATTTGAACAGATCCGATAATGAAATACCTTACATGGAATGGTTCGTAGATTTGGTCATTTGAACAGATCCGATAATGCAATAACTTACATGGAATGGATCGTAGATTTTGTCATTTGAACAAATCCGATAAAATGAATTAATTAACTTACTTGGAATTGATCGTAGATTTGGTCATTTGACCAGATCCAATAAAATTAATTAAATAACTAACATGGAATGGGTCTTAGAGTTGGTCATTTGAACAGATTCAATAAAAAAAAACTTACATAGAATGGGTCGTAGATTTGGTCAATTGAACAGATTTGATTTAGCAGCGCATCGAAATCTTTTTCTTCATATTCATCACTGACGGAAAACAAACTGCGCAGCAAAGGATACCAAACAAGGGAATGTGAAACAAAGTTCTCTTCTTCTTCTTTAATTCTACCCTTTCCCCCGCGTATCCCAGATAACCCGACGCCATTGCATAATGCACAATAGAGATTCTTGTAGGGGGCATAGAAGTAAACTTTTGGTAAAAACTCGCAATGATCTCCATCATTAGAAGTATATAGACACTTATCAATTGTTATATCTACAGCTCTATATGGGTTGCACATAGCACAATAAACGTTTTTATATAAATCCCCTCCAAACTGATCAGGCGCTTTCCAGTCATGTACGCTAGTGTATGGAAGATCTTCGCATGCCCAACTTACATCTAAGTCTGTCATTGGCCAGTGTCCCAATTTGTTGCATTTCTCTATAAGATGAGGCGTGATCTCGTCACATTTTCGACTGTTCGTCGCTGGATAAAGCGTCAAATTGCAATCAGCTCCTCGTAAAGATTTGAAAAAATTACTATAAAGCAAGAAGTTTGTGTGTTCAATATATGAAAAACAATGTGATTTTATCGTCCAGGGTTTGTAATTTTTTTCTTTTCGAGAAACACTGCACAGTAAACAGTACATATTTAAATATGGAATGCCTGTTGATAAATCGGTGACTGGGTGAATAGAAAATGCGTCTCCCTGCGGTTTCCTACACCTCTCTCCTATAAATTCCGGATAGCTATCTATACCATAACATCCGTTTGTCACTAAACTTTCGTTAAACGTTTTATTTGGTTCCGATGTCGAAAATATTTTTTCTTTTAGGCAGGTTCTAGGATACATGAGGAGCAGATCTTTACAGCAGTGATCATAATTACTTTCATTATTAATAAGGAACATACATGATGCATCACATGAGCAATTTGTATAGTGCATAAGCTTTGATGGAAATTTGTATTCACCACACGTTCTCGATACACCCCGCATTGAAAACGTTTTATGCACAAGATTTGTTAAATCACTATAATTGTGTTTCATCAATACTACACCACGTGATTGATTTATAATTTTCATTTCTCGAAACTGTTCAAAAACTTTTTGTTTTATTAAAAGGAAATATTCCTCTAGAAATTCCTGCACATTGATTTCAAAGAAAAGTATAGGTACGGACGACCCGTTACGGAATGAAAGCTCAGTATTCATGTCTAAGCTTACATCGAAAAAGGGAAATTTCGATGAATTTGGTCGGTTACACAAATAACAAAATAAGTTCTTATATGGCAATGTTCCAGGATTATCTCGGTAATATAAACATGCATTATTTACTGTACGGTTAAACGTATCCCACAGTCCACTGACGTTGCACTGAGATATTGTGTTGACCGCAGTAAATATTGGATTACACATTTTACAAAACATATTTTTGAACATTGTTTCATTATTAAAGTAATCGGCGTCACATCCATATTCAACATTATGTATATAATGTTTCCACGTCCCTGTTTTATTACAAGCATTAAGATATTGCTCGTTTTCTTTGTAACAGTTGTAAGAGATATTTTCATTTGGAGGATATGACTGTAACACACATTCACGCGCAATGGCATTTTTTATGACGTCATCAAAGGTTGAAATAAAATTGATGTCCAGAAATTGATCACAGAATATATCGATAGGCCAGGTAAAAAAAAATTGAAATCATTGTTGCAAATTGCACAAAACCGGTTGTAATACGTTCGAGATGTATTGTAACTGGTCACCGGTGGGTATTTTAGTTTATCGACGTCATTGATGACATTTTCGCATCTTTTGAGAACATCACTCTCTGCGTTGCGGGGACAAGAGTCAACCATTAAATAAGATGTTCTTTGGTTTCTTTCAGGGTAGTTTGATGACGCATTAACGATTGTGACGTTCTTACAGGTCGGTACTGGAGGAGAAAAGAACACATTAGGACAGCAGTCACCTCTGACGTAACACTCCTGATCGCAAAAACATGGCGGACAACGCGGGTATAGTACTGAATCCTGGACTTCCCAGGGAAACAGGGTATTATTTAGGTAACAAAAATGTCCAGTTCCGCACAGAGTCAAAATTTGTTCAAGTAACTTCGGGACTTCTATATCCTCCATGCTCATGTTTGATTGAAACACCTCACACATAAATATGCTTTATCCTGCAACTACCCCTTGCATTGACCTAATAAAGGTAACCTAATAAACCAAAGCTTTATCCGGTCACTGCCCTAATAAAGCCTCGTGCATGTATTCCGACGTTCCAAAAGCATTGTGACGTCACGTATACTGCAATGTTTACGCCATGGCGTCATAGTTTCAACTGCAGAGATGTGCCTAAATCTGTCGGAATTAGCTTGTTTTGGACGCTAAAATGTAAAATTTTGTTGCAGGATAAACAAAATACATGATAACTGTCTTGAAATATAAGCGATATTTGGGCTCGGGTCGAAAACGTAAGAGGGCTCGGCAAGCCTCGCCCTCTATCACGTTTTCTTACCCTCGCCCAAATATCGCCTATATTTCAAGATAGTAACCATGTATTTTATATGTAGAGGGTGATCCGCTGCATCACTGGTCAATTGCTCTATATCGGCGACGCTTTCTTATGTATTATAAATTCTCTAGTATAGAGATTATCATGTATATGATTTATGACAATATAATAAATTGAGTGTATTTCATCAAGTATTTATGAACAATTCCCTACCAATCAATATGTTTATGATTACTATAATCATACTAATGGTATCTGGTGTTGTATTAAGGCACACGTCCCATCAAGCCATCATATAAACAGATTTCATTTATTAATTCACGTCTATTACAAGCTTCATGTCCTATAACACAGTTACTGCAGATCTGTAGCTTGCTGGTCTGAAGAATTTGAGATGGACGACCATTGAGCTGTGTGAAGTGCTACCAACAGTGGTATGTGTTAAATTGATATATTTACATTCGCTGTGTTTTTCTAGTCAGCCAACAGTGAAATTGATTTGAAAACTATTTTCGTGTATACTCACGCGTAGAAATATACACGAAGAAACGTGCTTTAACGTGACGTCACAATGAGGCTGCAGCGACGTTAGTAAAAATCCGACGATATAGGGCAGCGAGAAATTCAAATATTTAGCATATTTTGGTTGCTTCCCAACTGTAAAATGTAAATATAAGGAATGTTTATCAGTTTAGTGTGAATTATTGGTGTGTGAATCACACAGACCAATAACTCACACAAAACTTAAAAACATTCCTTAATTAAGTTTCTTTATGCAATGTATGATTTCTTGCATCACATTATCATGCATGTTTTAAAATGACTAAGGTTTGTTTATATAATATATGATTTTTTTTGTATCAAGTTATCATGCATGTGTTATAATGAATTAGGTTTGTTTATGTAATGTATGATTTTTTATATCAAATTAAGTTATCAAATTGAAAACAAAAAAGAAAAGAAAAATGTTATAATTCAGGACTGTAAATATGGAGGATTGAAAATGGTCGATTACACAGAATTTATTTCTGAACTTAAATCAAGCTGGGTTAGAAGACTCATTCACTCATATGCAAAATCGGTAAAGTTGTTTAAAGTTGAAATAAAAACAGACATTGAAAGCTTGTGGATTAGGGGCTCAGATTACATTCTAAATTTAACAAAGAATTTAACAAACAATTTGTGGTAAGAGGTCCTTAATTCCTGGGTAAGACATAAATATAAACCAAGAAAACAAACGTGTTATTAGAACATAATTATACGGAAAAACACACATGTAATGATTAACAGAATCTTTTTTCGGGAAAAGCTATTTTGATGAAGGCTTTGTCCTTTTAAATGACATTTTTGATAATGATGGCAACTCTTTATCCTTTGATACCATAGTAAACTCAAAAGTGAAAACAAATTTTGTCGAATATAATGGCCTTAAGAGGACAGTATTAAAAAGTATTAAAAAGACTGAAGTATGCAAGAATAGAGGACATTAAAAGATTAAAGATTATTGGACCAAATATTCCAAATTCAACTTTCATATTTTATAGAAGTACCGTATATACTCGCCTATAAGTCGGTCCGCCTATAAGTCGATTGTATTATTTTTAGGTTATTTTGCGGGAATTTGCCATTGACCCGCCTATAAGTCGGTACAACTTTTTGTCAGAATCAGATGACAATTTTTAATAAATGTTCTGATGTTTAAACCTGATTTCAATAAATAATTTTATAAATTTAGTCGATATTTTCCTTTAAATCGTTAAAAAATAAATAATGCATTCTTAAGGTAAACAAAAATTAGATATATGTATATGAATACTTGTACTTTACGTTTTATCTTAGAATACATAAATCGTAATGATATGATATATCCATACTTTATTCAACGATAACCATGTTTATAGAATACTACGTTTAGCCGACCAGAAAAATACCAATCCTTTTATGATTCGCCTATAAGTCGGACATAGACTTTTGGGCTAAAATTTAACTCCCAAAAAACCGACTTATAGGCGAGTATATACGGTGTTAATAAAGGGTGTTAAGATATGTATAAAATATTTATAAATAATGAGAGATAGCCAATCAGTTCTCATTTAAAATGGAATGAAAAAAAATGTTTTCTTTGATAAAGCAGATTGGAATAAAATATTTGAACTTCCCTTCAAAGCTACTCAGGAATCCAAATTTCACTGGCTCCTATTTCGATTCTTACACAGGATTATTCTCTAGATTGAAGTTAATTGATTCACCTGCTTGTACATTTTGTTTAAGTGACATAGAAACAATTGTCCACTTGTTTGTACAATGTTTTAAAGTAAAAGATTTATGGTGTAGGATTGAAGAATGGGTTTTGGAAAAATTTGAGATTCATGGTAGTTTTGACAAACAAGCAATACTTTTTGGTAAATATGAGTACATGAATATATGTAGATTACAAAACTTGTTAATACATGTATTGTAAAACAATTTATTTTTGCTAGTAAATATAAAAAGTGTTCCAAAATTAAGTATCGATATTCTAATAAAGAATATTATAAATTTTATTATTGATTATTATTGTGTAAATATGTATCATTTACAGTGTCAAGTCTATTTAATTTCGCGTTTTCTACGGACATTTTTTGCGCCAAATTTTAACGTTGTCCTTTAATTATGACGTCATAATAACGACGTTATCATGTCATGTTGCTATTGTTATTCAAAATCCACTGAAGAGCCGAATGGCGAAAGCGCTTTGGAATAAAATGTGATCATCTTTTCCAAACTCTGGATTATATATATATATATATATATATATATATATATATATATATATATATATATATATATATATATATATATATATATATATATATATATATATATATATATATATATACTTTGTTTTCTTGTACAATACATTATATATATTATTAAAGCTTAATATTCGATATACATACATGTAGATAGTGACTAGTAAAAATGGTTTTAATAATACACGTATAAACAATATATCCTCGGAGGTCCATGAGTCGTTACCCTATTGAGCTAATGTCGTTTTTAAAATAAATTTGAAATACTGTTTCATTTCATGTCATACCTTAATTAGTTGTAAATATTTTTTTCTTTCGATTAAACCGATAGTTTAAAAAAAATCATGCCTTTATTGATTGCTTACATCTCGTTTAAAGTACCTATGTTTACCCGACGCCATTTTGAAACACAGGTCCTAGGGTTGTGACCTTAGCGAAATTACATAATACAGACCCAAATATTCCAAAATTGATATGTGACTTCTGTTGACTTTATATAAACAATGTATGCCGTAGGACCAATACACTTGAGATAGTACGTAAGAAAAAAAATGAAATATTTTCCTTCTTAACATATGCGGTAATAGCGAATTTATGCTAAGTAAGGGGAAATTTTTGTTTCTGTTATATACTCTGCTGCCTGATTTCGTCCATATCATCTTCAGCAGCTGTAAAATATGACAAAGTCAATCCAACTAATTTTTTTCTGACGATATGGTGCAGTAGGGCTCAAAATCATGCAAGATATTCAAGAAAAATAAAAGGTGACGACTCTAGGACCATAACGAATTTAGGGCCTCCGACGATACATTTAATATTCCCTTCAATATATATATATATATATATATATATATATATATATATATATATATATATATATATATATATATATATATAAAGCACATTTTACAACAACTCTTAAACTAATATAACTGCCCTAAGTGAAGAAATATTAATATAGAAAGCACAAAGAAATTCACTTTTACATGGATACCCACTTCCGCCCCAGCCTGGGGTTGAACTCTCGACCTTCGGAATCTGTCTCCTAGCAGTGCAGGAACAGCGCGCTAGACCGCTCGGCTATCTAGGCAAGTCAAAAAACTATATATATATATATAAATATATAAATAAAAATATATATATATATATATATATATATATATATATATATATATATATATATATATATATATATATATATATATATATATATATATATATATATATATATATCACTAAAAATGACCAACGACACGAACAATAAAAATTGTCAAATTTTCGGGACGCCCTGTCCCTTCCTCAGGACAAAGAAAAAAGTTAAAAAGTCATAAGAACAAAGGAAAAAGGGAAACAAAAAAAAACAACTAGCACTACCACTAAACTACTAAACACTAGATATTTACATACTTAATTACATGTTGAATTGGATATTTTTAAAAACACTAATAAAGAAAGAAATCCGGACCGCTATGAAATGCGTCCGGTCTATCGGGTATACTCGGGTGAAGTGCGATTTACATAATTGAACGAATTAATTATGCTAATTAATTACGACAATCAGTAAATCGTACATTGTTTCATTCTCTCAAAATGGCGTAACTTTACTTAATAAAGAATAATGAAAAAAATCATATAGTAGGGATATTTAAACATATGAATTGTGATCAATTATAAATTTTGAAATATTTAAGGACTTATTATCGGAAAAAAATAATTAACAAAGGCGTAAGCAATACATAGTTTTGTGGTTGTTCGAGAGTTGGTGGCGCAAATTAATGTAGAGTTTACATTAAATTGAGAGAATAATTTTTTTAGTATGATATATATATATATATATATATATATATATATATATATATATATATATATATTTCAAAACAAAATGAAGAATCGGTACAGTTTTTGATATATTTAAAAGTAGAAATCCAAAAATATCACAAAACATTTACTGCAAGCGCTTTCGCCATGTTCGGCTCTTCATGCAGTTATACAAATGTCAGGTAGGTTACCTGGTAACGTCAAAAGCATAAAGTTCATTGTGACGTCATAATAGATGTAGGTAGCGTTAAGTTGGCGTAATTGTTAATGTACAAATCTTGCAATAATTTTCGCACATTATACAAATGAAATTTCAAAATATAAAATATACAGTATCATTTGCGATTAAGTTTGGGTTTAAAGAGGTTGATAAAATAGTCTTCTTTTGCCAAACGTAAATTTTCGTTTTCATTTGGAAGTTTATAAAAGGGGAAAATCTTAAATATTCCTTTGCCACATTTTGCGAAATGTTCACAACACGGTGTATTACGCACACTAGGGTCTTTAATTTGTTGCTTGTGCACACGAACCCTGGCATTTAATTTTCCCGTTTGTCCAATATAATATTCTTTACACGTCGGACAGATGGCACAGTAGATGACGTTTTCCGATTTACAGTTCATAGATGAGTTGGTTCGAATTTCCATTCCTGATTTAAGTTGGATTTTATTCCCCTCTTCTAAATATGTACATGTTCCGCATCTCGGATCTCCGCATTTTTTAATGGTTGGAATTTCCTCCTGTGTAGTAAAACGGGCCTTGGTCAACAGTTTTTTAAGACTTGGTGCTTGTCGTCGACTGTTTATGATATCATTTGGCTGAAC